AATTAAATTTTAATTTTACCTTTTCTAGTATATTTAATGTATTATTAACATCTTTGCAATTGACAACTTCATCAGAATTTGAATTATTACTTAATATTTGATTACTCTAAACCATTTATAAAAATGTAAAGAATTACCTATGTTCTAATAAATTTTTAAACTAATAAGTTTGTTAATTAAATTGTAATCTTACCACATCAACAGTATTTAAGAAAGTATCATCACTACTGCAATCATTGACAGCATTAGAAATTGTAGTATTACATTACTAGTAGTAGTACAATTATTACTCTAAAACAATTAAAATAATTCAGTAAATAATCAGTATTCTTATTTATAAATTATTAGGTAGGTACCTATTTTAATACAGATGCAATGATTTATCATTTTGTATTGAACAAAAAAATAAAACATAACATTATAAATTGTTAGGTACAACAATGTTGTTGTTGTCTGTTTTGTTGTTCTTTAATTATAGCCTATAGATACTCACTTTTTGAATTGGTGGGATTGAAAATAATTCCGAGATTGGTCTACATTTGTTCGCTTGTGAAAATAAAAGTTTTTTATTTTTTTCCCTAGTTTTTTGGGCTCCGCCTTTACGTTTATTTTCCGACATTGATTACTCTAACAAAAAACAATTTAAAAAAAACGTTAACACATTACACCAGTCACCAAATTATAAAACAACACTTCTTCAGTTCTTCGTGCGTCTAGATTTTTAATCGATGCCAAAATCTATTTAAACAAAAATATTAATGTCAACTTTGATCAATGTTATCATAACGGCCGCATGCTAAATCGCGCGCACACTACAATACAAGCATAGACATATAAATTTATATTTATGTGTACAGTATGAATACAACCGTGGTCGTACGCTTGATATCTGCATTTTGATTGATTGTTTGTATTTCGGTTAGGTATTTCCAGTTACTGATATAATACCGGGTTTATCATACAAATTAGCTAGTATAGTTTTTATTTATAGATAATAATATATGTACTAACGCATTACACATAATATTATAACTTATAGTTAACATAGTATGATGCACAAAATGTCATGTAGATAATAAAAATATTTTTATCGAAAAATAATATTTTTTTAAATAAAAGAGAACATAATATTTTAGTATAAATAAATTATAAAATCTGTTTTAGGATGATAGGCTCGTTAGCTATGACCGGCTCCGGCCCACCGGGAAACTTCCCGGCCTCCCGGTGGCACAATCCGCCACTGATCATTAATTACAATTTCAGTACTATTTTCAATTCCAGTTCCTACTTCTTCTCTTTCTTTGCTACATTCTTTACTTGAATCCTTAAATACACTTAAAAATTAAATTATAATAATAGGTAAACAAGTTATTATATTAGAATAATAAAATATAATTTATCTATTTGTATTATGGTAATAAACAGTATCAACTGAYACAAATTTAATAAACAATAGTGTATTGTATTTTTTAAATTTTACATTATGATTTTAAATTTAACATTTAACAGTTAAAATATGTAAACTTACAATATGATTGACAATAAACATCAAAATTATCATCTACATCATATTCTATACATTGATTTTCATAAATATTGTATTCTGGATCTTTATTGCTGCCATAGATAATACTATTATTTGATTCACTACCACAACTACTCATTTGACCATACTCGTAGTAGTCCAAAATACTAGAGCCAATTGAATGATCATCATCACTCATACGGTTTAAATCAATTGCCTGTTGAAGAACATGACAAAATTATTGAAAGTATACACTATTTGTAAATAAAAAAATTATACTGTTATTTATGTTTTACTATAATTTATTACTGTATTAAGTATTAAGACTTTATTATTATAATGATATTGTATTGTACTTACATTTTGTTTTCCATTGGTAGTTCCATGCATTATAATTTATTTTATAACAAAAGGCAATAATATTATAAATAATGAAACAAATTACTAGGACTAATATAATAAAAAAATATTACAAATATTAATTATTATTATTGATATTGTAAAACTGATTGTACGTTATCAGTATAAAAATAATAATATTAATTAATAGATACGACCTGCCTTATTCGTCGGTTTTATGATTTTGTCAATTCGTCGTGTCCAGGGCCGGATTATGGTCATAATTTAAGGGCGGCTATTACTTTTATTGAGGCCTTTTCACCTAAAACAATTTCCTTTTTTTCTTCTGATTTATTAATTTGTAATAAATATA